TGCTCGTGCACCAAAGTCATGCGTATGAGTTTATGTATGTATGTGAATTGAGTGTATTCAATTGTGAGTATGTCAGTATGTGTTGTGACTGGTGTGAAATGATTCGGTTATAGTGATTGTAGTGCAGTATAGTAAACTGTAGTATTAGTATGATAGTAGTGAAGTGTATAGTGACTAGTGACAAAGAAACTGAATCGGTGTGCCTGACTCCAGCTGCTCGGTGTCTGCCACAGATCACTAGGAACGGTGTGCAGTGCAGGTAGAGCAATTAGGTCCAGGTTGGCCAGGTATGTCGTTGCAGTCGTATTCGTAGTAGTTAGTAGGCCTCATGTTGCTGGCCAATTTTCGCAATTTTGATGGATCAAAGTTTCGTTTGGGAGCCATTCATTCGGAGTCGTCAATGAAGCCATTTATGCCTACAGGCCTACAGTGTCATTGGCAGTGGCTACCACAGTTACCACAGCTTCCAGCGCAGCACCTGCAGCAGCACATTGCAAATAGGTTGTGGCTGTGGCTAAGCCAAGCTCCAGGTCTCAGGTGCCAGCGAAGGGTAAGAGTCACATAAGGCATAAGAGCCATCAAAACCGTGTTTTTTCTTCGAGGATCGTCCGTGCTTGAAAGCCATGGCTACCATGGTTGATGAGGACGGTCCGAGTGGATGGAGAGAGATAGTGAATGAGCTCATGGCTTCCCAAGACTCAGAGGTGAGTCTGTGTGAGGAGGCCGAAGCATGCCGTTCGGAAACGGATGCGAGTGACAGCCTGCCAGACCCAAGTCTTTGGTGGGTTAACAAAGTTAAACGGCACCTGAGTGGCAACCCGCGACCCCCGCCGCCTAAGACTCCCCGCGATTTGTTATCTGGCTGCACGGCATCGGGTGCAGACATCATGGTCATGAAGGCCTGACCGAGCTTGTTTGCGTGCCTCTGTTAGACTGTTAGACTCTCTTACTGTCTTACTTGGTATTGATATTGCTTTCATGACTTTGATGGAGAAAGCAGGAACATCACGGTGTCATTTTGGTTGTTTGATGTAAGTCTATGTAAGTCTCACAGTCGTCGTCAGCAGGCAGTTCGAGGCATGAATCTTGAAGGTGCTGCTTCAGATCACGGGTCCAAACATCTAGGGTGTGGGGCCATCGGTTGCTCCAAAATCCAGTTCCTCGATCATCAATGTTTAGGCAGTCTTCTTGGGACCATGACTAAGGCGACTAAGGCCAGAGCCACTTGGCCATGTTATTAGGTCATGAGGGTGCCTCGCCCAAAGTCTTGAAGCACCCAAGTTCCAGACTGCAGCACAAGAGCTCCCAAGCGATTGAATATCAATAGTTGAATGAATAGATGCAGTCAGAGTTGAAGCTCCCACCAGAGCTGAGACCCCACACCACATGCCCAGGCCTCACTCCCGACCCAACCTGACTTAACCGCTTATCCGTGCCGTGCCTCCAAACTTCACCTGCGCGCCAGGCTCTTGGGATCCCCTCCTCCTGTGTCGGGACGAGTGAGCCGGAGACAAAGTACCGGGAGTTCCAGGCTTCCAACCATGGGGGCTGCATTGAGCATATGCATCTGACCCTTTCCGACCAGACAGCAGAGACCCCGTGTGAGATGCATCCTGACTCCTGGTTGCAAGCTAGGTCGAGGGCATTCTCTGGCGGTCTTGGGGTGTCCCTGCCCTCCGTATTCAGTGATGCGACAGAAGCGCCGAGTGAATGGAAGTGTGCAGGAGCACCCTCAGTACCAGGTTATGTTTTCTGACTCAGTCGAGTGGCTTCAGAAGCATGCGCCTGTATCAGTGATACTTGAGCAAGTGTCTGGGTTCGATGAACCCGAGTGCAAAAACTCCAGCTGCACTCCTCTGCAGAGGCCGGGTTTTGCTGAAGTGGTGTAGTGACTGTAGTGAGTGTAGTGAAGTGACTAGTGACTAGTGACGTGACAGTGTAGCGGCTTGTAATGACGTGCAGTGTGGTCTCACATTATGCTGATGCTTGGTTGTCTGGGATGCTTGGTTGTCTGGTAAGTTGGAAGTCCTGGTCAGTCTGATGGTCGTGGTAGTCAGTCTTGTTGTGGTCGTGGTAGTCATAGTCAGGTAGTCCGGTAATCACGGTAGTCGCTCCGGTAGCCGGTAGCCGCAATGAGTGATCAAGGTAGTCTGTAGCCATAGCCAGAGCCGTGTAGCCGTACCCTTGGATAAGTGTAGGTTGCCCGCTGTCTACTGGGTATACTCTTTTGCTACACACTGAAGCCCTCGGCCTAGGCGTCCACATGTTCGTTTCGATAACAGCGCCAGTCAATCTTGAGAGTCTTGGGATCATATTGTTGCCATTCCTGAAATCGTAAGCACTTGCAGACACGGCTTCCATGTTCGTTTGCGTGACTTGGGCCTGCTAACTGCTGAAGCCGAAGCCTGCTTCTCAGACTCGCGAGGCCACTACTCTACTCAAGATTTGCCCTCGACTCTATACTATACTATACTATACTTACTATACTAGCTGCTGACTAACTCTACTCTACTAACTCTACTAGCTGCTACTAGCTCGTGCTTGGATCCAGCTCGACCGACTTGAGCTAGCAGCTAGCTGCACAGATCCCAGGTGTCCCAGTGTCTCCAAGGATGTGAGCTTGGAACCTTGACACAGATCGTAGTCCTAGTGACCTAGTGACCTAGTGTCATAGAGTCATAGAGTCGTAGATTTTGTTGAATCAACCGACATTTCACATGCTGAAACTAACAGCTAACTCACAGTGCAGCCAGCCAGCTGGCAGCTAGCGGCAGTACCAGCTACCATTATGAATCGAGTGTATGTAGAGACTCTAGACCGAAACTTCATAATTTTCTTAAGTGATTCAGTCAATGCCCTACCCAACCTTAGCCTCCGCAGCCCCTACCTGGCCCTACCTGCCTAGTTCATCCCCAGCTTGTGATGTGCAATTTTTTCAAGAGACCGAGTTCGAGCCCAACAAGGGCTACCACACGGCTGTCTTTGAGATGGACATGTCGGACTTCGTGAACATTTCACGCCCCAGGACATGTGCTCAGCTCACTTGTGTCAGGGTAGGATTCCTTCGTTCATTTGTTCGTTGGCAAATGTGGGATTCTCGAGATACTCAGCGGTCCTGAGCCCTAGGCCCTAGGCCCTGCGCCTGCGCCCAGGCATTTTCGCACTTGGTCCCGAGGTCCTTGATAGTTGCTCGTGTGTTCTAGAGCCCTAAACCCTAAGCCCTAAACCCTAAGCCCTAAACCCTTAGCCCTAAACCCTAAGCCCTAAACCCTAAGCCCTAAACCCTGAGCCCTTCTGGGTTCTTCATTTCGGAGCACACGTTGCCACTGACTTTCCAGACTTTAGACTTTAAACAGTAGTCTCCAGGCCACTGGTTTTAGGTTGAGGCGGTGGGCGCTTTTTGAAGATCGGTTGCGGTTGTTGGGAGGTGGATTGGTTTGGTTTGGGTGTTCCACAGTCTTTTGTGCTTCGGCAGAACCAAGCTTGACCGACGACCTCGATTTTGCCACTGCTTTAAATTTTAAATTTAAATCCTGGATAGGTCTTGACCGTCTCAGTCCCAGTCCCACTCCTTGCCATAGCAGCAAACCCCAGCCCGAACTCAAAACACATGCTAAATCACTAAACCTTTACTGACCTTTATTGCCACCGTACAGCCTGAAAGGCCCAAGACTAAGCCGACTAAGCCATAGCCCAAAACCCCCAGGCCCAGAGGACCGACTTTAAACCCAGTGCCAGCCCTAAGCCCTAAGCTTTCCAGGCCATATATAGCCTGACAAAGACTGGTGGCTTGCGCCGAATCGTTCATTGGCTCGGATGGGCTGGCCGTGCTTCATGAGTTACAATGGCCACTTTAGTTAGTCAACCGTCGCTTTAGCATCATAGCCGCTCCTAGTCACTAGTCCTAGTCCTAGCCGCTAGCCGCAGCTAAGGCTAAGGTATACCAGTATAGCTGACCAGCTAACCCTGCACTGAGCAGCTAGTCACTCGTCACTAGTCACTAGTGTCACTAGTGACACCAGTGACTAGCCACTAACTCGCTCGCCTCACTAGCCAGTAGCCTCACTAGTCACTGCTGCTAGGGCCGCTAGGGCCTGCTAGGATTCTGCACAAATCTTTAGACTCCCAGACTTTCCCAAAATTCGAGCTAATGATTATGCTAATTCCAGACTAGACTCGTGACCAGACTCCAAAGTGGGATTTAGTGGACTTTAGTGTTAGTGGCACAGGCACTTGCCTCCCTCGAAGACTTTGAGACATTCCAGATAGAATCAAATAGAGTCAGAGGAGCCATGTTGATGCACAATGTTTGGATTGCATCATGTTAGTTAGTTAGACAGATTTGATTAGATTTTAGACTACATTTTAGACTTCGCGAGAACGGCAGAGTAAGGCAGAGTCCAGCAGTTTTGCACAGGCTGGAACTTGTCTGTTAGTTAGTTAGGTCCCTTGCATCGGTCAGATATGCATAAGGCGTAGGAGACAATATTCATAAGATTCAAGCCCTTCGGTGGTGACCATGGGTGACCATGGTGGAGTCGGAATCTTTTTCATGGCCCAGAACGGCTGTGACTGACTGGACCGAAGGCTCGAAAGAACGGGCAGGATGAGTCCTAATGGCTGATTAGGACATTGGCTGGGGAGCAGTCGCATCTTCTTTAGTGCAGGAGGAGCTCCGTCCGAATCAGGGGCCACCGGCACCGAAAAGGGCTCGAGGCAGGCCGAGAAAGGCCACTGTGGCGCCGGCAGCTCCTGCACCGTGTGAAGATGTGACACAAGCAGCCAGGTTACAATCCTCACGTTCTGGCAAGTCGGTTGTTGAGAACTTGGCTGCAAGGTTCCGAGGTGCTTTCGCCAGTGTGGGCAGTTTCTTTCAGGTGAGGCTCTGGGAGACCTTGTTCAAGTACTGTGCTAAAGCCGCGCCCGAGCTTCCATCGGCAGATAGCAGCAGCATCATTTCACAAAACCAGGCCAATCCTGCCAGTTCACTTATAGACTGTATGCCCATTCTGAACCTTGGCACGCAGCAGCGCATCTTTGACTACGGTTCCCGGCAGACTGTATCCAAAGATGAAAAGCGAGTGGCAGCGTGTGCGCTGCAGTTCAGTGGGCTTTTGACTGGTACAATGCTGGCGAGATGTGCTTCGTTTGCTTCCCAACCAAACTCGGCGTGGAAGTGTCTTGCTATCATCAAGCGCCGCCGCTATGACGAAACACCAACACGTATCACAGTTCGTGAGGAGCCTTTTCGCTTCGAGCAGCTTGGTAAGTCAGAGGCTACAGCTGAAGTGGCGAAGCTTTTTCAGACCGAGTTATGCTGTGGAATGCTCTTGTACAATGCTGCTACTGGTGATTCATGCTTGATGAAGATGACACTTCCTTCTATGATGGCTTGTGTTGATTCTGCCTCGGCAGAAAACATCGTGAGAGTTCAATCTGAAGCAGAGTCGATTATTCCATCATTGCATCGTTTGAGCCAGAAAGCAGATGTGGTGTTCAACATTCCTGTCACAGACAGAGCATCGGCGAACATCCGCGCAGAGCGTGAGCTCAACACTGCGACCCCGAACGGAGCATCCACCCACTTTTATTGCAGAGTCCACAAAGCTTCACAGACCCAAACGAAACAGTTCTCGCATGCCGAGCTGCACGTGTCAGGTTTGTTACACGTTGCTTTGTCGCAGCGAGGGGGAGGAGCTCGGCGCGCATTGAGGAACATCCTGTATGAGGTGATCAAAGAGAGACTTGTCATCTTTATCGGGGAAGCTCCGGGCCGGTACACAGCTCACCGCGAAGCTGTGCTCAACTTGAATCTCGGACGGAACCGGTATAGTGGTATAGTATAGTAAGTATAGTATACCAATTAGAGTCGATAGAAGCCAAATATAATATAGTCATGTAGTCAATATATCATCCTGTACTATACTAGTTACTTACTAGTTGCTTTACAGGGCTTTTTGTGGGCGTGTTGGCCCTGCCCTATTTGTATCGTACAGGCCCCCTGGACACATAGACATAGACCCATCGACTATATACTACAGACTATAGACTTGCTATAAACTCTAGACTCTAGACTGTAGACTCTATAATCCCAAGTCCCCGTGACCTGATGACCTAGTGACCCCAGTATCCGAGTAGGTGATTTACTGGTATGTCCTGGTGTGATAGGCTTAGATTCACACCTTGGCACTGGCCACAGTGCTGGCTTTGCTAGATTTTTGATTTTCCTGAATAATATTAGTCCTGGCTCCGTGAAGGAAGAAATACTCCTCTGGATTTATGGTTTGTTGTTGGTAATCGGTGCCTAGGTATTTGGACACTACTTGGAACCAGCACGGCAAAGTGCCACTGAAGAGAGTGGACACACAACGGTGCGTGATCACCAAGTTTTTCAATGGAGATCTGCAAAACCATGAAAATGTTGAATACTATTCTGCAGAGCCTATCAGCAGGGACAAGGTGCTTCAGCTTTACCGGTCCCTGGTGATCCCACTTCTTCTGCCGAGTATCTGCCCCATTTTTCCGAGGTCGCGTTGGATAGGGGGAGAGCATAGCATTTCCTGGTGTGGGCTACTGGCGAGCTTACACGGGCTTCTGAAGCCCCTGCTCCTTCAATGGGGCGCTCCACAGGGCCTTCCTGCTCTGCCACAGGCTGCAAGTTCGGTGGTGGGCTCAACAGCTGCAGGCAATGCAGTGCCTGATGCAGGGCTCCCAGCGGGTGATATGGACTGGGACTATGATCCAGTTCTTGCAGCAGAGGCTGAGAAAGATTTGCTTGATCGTGCAACAGGGTCCGTAGACTGGGCGAAAATCAACAGTTCCATGAGGCTGCGCTCCGCTCGGTGGGGTGATCGCAGTGACACGTGTGCAGCCCTGGTCTGCATGCGTTCAGTCATGAATCCCTGCCTACAGCTGATGCATGGGCTCTTGAAGCAATCTGGGTTGAAGTTCGAGCGATGCTGGGCTGATTTCAGCAAAAGCTGGATGCTAGAATCTGTTAGTTGCTAGGCTGCTAGACCCGACTGCTAGACTCGAACTACAATGCCAACACTTTCAATAAACTCAACTGTTAGATTCAATACACTTTGTAGACTCAGATTCAATAGATTGGTTGGTGTCTAGAGTCTAGAGTTAAGTTGAGCTGAGTTGAGTAGATTAGTATACTTAGTGGTGGACGGGCTAGCTAGCCGATGCTATGTCAGCACATTGGCTGGCAGTAACTGTATATGACTCGTGGCTAGCTAGCTGCTTGCAAACCAAGCAGCCAACAGCTAATTTTCATCACTATTCACTCACTATTCATTTCGAACTGTGGAAAATTTTTTGTTGCAGTCACGGAATTAAGAAACATCATCGTTCAATACGAACAGCTTGTTTGGGGTATACTTCCTGGAGGTTGGTGCACGAGATTCCGAGATGCAGTGAAATCATTCCTTACACCATATGCTCTCTTGTGTACGGTCCAGTGAGTCCAGTGGTATCTCATTCAAGCTTTTCTGTGTTCAAGCTGTATCATTACTAGCTGTCTCAAATCTGCCCATTTACGTTTGAAAGTTTGGCAGCCTAACCGCGGAAAGTCCACCCCGACCAGATGGAAAGTCAGTAGTAACAGTAGTAATTCAGGAACAGTGGTAAGTTTTGAGTCTCAATAGTAAGCAGTCCCGTGTGTTCTTTTTAGATTCGGGTTCGGTGCAGGCGGCTGATGAAGGTTGAATCCAGGCGATCGTGTTTTACCACTGTTGCAGCTGCAAGCATGCATCAGAGACACATGTGTGCAAGCAAGAGTCATAAGGCTTACGTCCATTTAAACCAGGCTGGCCGCCGGCTCTCCCAAGTATTGACCAAGTACTGACGTCAGTAGTGCATTGTGTAAACCTGAGTGACAATAATCATTAGTGATATGATGAGTGTCATTGTGTGACATCATCAGTGACGAGTGCTGTGCAGTGGAGTTCCTCTCACTCTTTGTGTCTCTGTGTGTCATTGTCTTCACAATATATTCCAAGGCAAAGAAAGTTGAGCAGTCCGAGTGTCTCGGGTGCGTGAGTGCAGTGCAAGTGTGGGCCTCGCTTAAATTTCAGTGGGCTTGACCAGGCCTTACTTCCACAAGGCCTTAGATCCCTGGACGAAGCTTTAAAGTATGTGTAGAGTAGAATAGACTCACGAAACAGTGTCCTTACGGCGAAGGTTTTGTTGGTCCGGTCCTATGTAGCTTTTGATTAAAGACTGTGCTCTTGGGTCTTGGGTGCAAACTCGTCACATGCTGCTAAGGCTGCTAAGTCCTAGATCCCTCGCAAGAACCTCACAGTAAGCCAGTAAGCCGTACTCAGTACTCATCAGTTTGTTATGGTCAATATCCAGCACCACTCAGGAAGGCAGCAGCGACTGCAAGCCGAAGGACTCCCTCGTGAGTACCGTGTCGTCGCAGGTCCGAAGTTGACACAGGAAACCTTCCGGACCCTGAATGCCCAGTTCCATGAGTCAGTCGAGGCTCTCGATCTGCAGGACAGGACTAGAAGGACCCGTGTCCTTTTGTTCCGCATGCTGTCGACTGCGGGCGGTGCCCTGCAGCTCCTGCTTGGCCGAGGAGATGTTGGCTACCCGTACAAGCTCTTCCGCCTGCTGCTTTCAGACAATCCTCATGCTGTCGAAGAGGTTTTTTCGGACCCACCATGCCTCTACGACGAGATCACGGCCAAGATGGTGTTGAAGTTCCCCTCTGCGCGGGAGATGGTGTCAGCAGAAGGCTTCACACTTGCAGTTTCTTTGGCGGAGATGGTCTTGCTCGATATCGCGGGAGTAGAAGCCCGCCATGCAGCAGCCAGGAGGATCAATGTTCTGCGATCCACTCAGACAAACACCTTGTCATTTGAAGCATTGTGCAGCTTGACATTGATTAGAAGTTTGCGGAAAGCCAGAGCCGATTGGTTGGAGGCTTTCCAGGGTGGCCTCCTCAGACGCCCGCCGACGAAGAGGAGGACCAGAACATGTCCTCGTGCGGAAGGCTCGGACTCCAAGCGAAAACCATGCAATCGAGGTGGTGGTCCATGGCGTGCCTTTCTTCATGTTCGAAAGCCTGGTTTTGGACGACAGAGCTCTGTCTCAGCAGAGTACCGGAGGCTCAAAAGGGGCGGTCGCCAGTCGGAGGAATTTGCACATCTTCTTCGAATCGGCCACCTGGGAACAATTGCAAGAAGAGCTGGTCACAAATCCTTTGGTGACAGGGAGGCGGAGCGTAGGCGGAAGCGTCAGGGCTTGGCTTCTTCCAAAGCTGGCAGGATTTTGCTTGCAGCTGCTGGGCCAACGGAGCTTGCAAATCAGATGGTCGCCGTGGCTACCAAAGCCAAGGAAGTCACTCGGCACATTGACAAAGAATGGCAAGATGACTTGCAGCAGATCGCTCTCTGCTCCAAAGAGACTGCTGCTGAATTGAGAAAGGCAGAGCAGCAACCGAGCCCCATGGGCAACCTGGCAACATCCATATCTTCCTCGCTTCTCCCGTTGCGACCTCTGCCATTGCCTCAAGCCCTGCCTGCTTCAGGAGATTCTGTGCAGGACCAGGACCAACCCACGCAAATAAACTAAGGTAACTAGTTCCTAACTAACTGAAGTAATTAAACTAAACTTTAACTAAATTTAACTATTTAACCGGACCCAATCACCGGCTTAATTATGAGGTCGGTAATTAGGTCCGGTTCGATTGTTAAATTTAGTTAAAGGACCTAATTGTTATTAACCCTCGCCGTAGGCCCTAGGCCCTGGACCCAAAACCTTGAAGCCTTCAACCCCCTTAAAAGTCCCCTAACGAGGGTTTAAACGGCCTTAAACCCTAAACAACCCTAAGCCCTAAGCCAAGCCCTAAACTCCTAAAACTTAAAGCTTTCCTAAATTTTATACTCTAGACTCTAAATTCCCGAAACCCCAGCCGCTTAAGTTTAAATCTAAAACTCAGAATCCAAAATAATCCCAAACCAACCAAAACCCTTAAACCCTGAACAGGACGGAGCCAAGGGATCCATGTTCAGTTTGGAGTGTTTGCCACCGGCTGCAGAGCTCACGAAGGCCAGGCTTGATCCCGAGTTCATCTGCAAAGCTTGAATGCTTAAACTTAAACTTGCTTTCAAACAGCAGCCCTTAACATTCCGTAGCGCCGTAGTTGCTTTGGCCTATTCTGTTAATCGATTTCTACGACTGAAGATGTGTAAAGACTTCAAATTCTTTTAACGCTTCCAAGGCTTCAAAGCTTTCTTAATTCAAAAGGTTCTACAACTTGAAGGTTGTAAGGTGACTTGCAAAGCTTCCAAAGTTTCTATTCTCGCTGACACATTCATTAGTCATTAGTGACCGTTAGTGTCATTAGTGAGTGTAACAAGAAGAAATACTCAATACTTAGTTCAGCAGTTGACAGTTAGACAATTCTTGGTTCATCAATTATTATTCTAGTTTCCCTTATTACTAGCTGACTAGCCACTAGCCGACAGCGAAAGGCAATAAATTCGATGGTCGGTAAACAGAACAATCAACAGTCGTTTGCGTTCCATCTCTCAGTCTCTGCAAGCGCAATGACAGGTTCTTCAGAATTATTACGTTGTTATTACGTGTTGTCCATTTTACACAAGTTTCGGGCCAACATCTGTTCTGTTGTGTTAATCTGGTGCATGCAGCAGAGGGCTGTCACTGTCCACTGCACTGCACAGCTGCAACAAAAACCGAACGAAGCACGAGCTGCAGGCCACAGCCCGATTCATTAGATTAGATCGTTAGACTTGACTTGACTAGTGACTAGTGACTAGACTCATAAGATTTTCGAGTTTAGACGCAACGTTAGAGTCTAGTAAACTTTAAACTTTAGACTAAACTTTAGACTCATTAGACTGCAATCAACAATCAAATAGCCGCAAATAGCTTTTACTGAGCAGTAGTCAGTAGTCAGTAGTCAGTAGTCAGTAGTCAGTAGTCAAGTCATAGTCATTGTTCAATAGTCATCAACAGTCGATAGCTGGCTGCTCAATACCTTCCATAGGCCATAGGCCACAGGCCATAGCCAAGATGCAACATTCGAAGACACCAGCTTCCACAAGCACGGGGGTGCAGTGCAGGCCTTGTAGTAGTGTAGTGACTATTGACTATCGTAGTTCGTGCATTTCAAACTAGCTCTTTTCAAGCTTCAATTGATGTTTGTCCAGACCCGTGGTGCTGATTGTGCGAGGGGCCTTGTTTCTTGGTGGGTAGGCCCGAGCATGGGACTTAGGACCAGGGTTGTCTTTTGAAACCCCAACAGCCCTAGCCGCTCTAGCCCGTAACGTCAACATACTGCAAAATGCTCCTGCCAGGAGTTCTTCCGTGTTGTGCCCTCCGCCGCAGCGAGCACTGGTGGGGTGCTACAACAGCTTGAGGAGGATGTTGCGAACCGGACTCTCATGAGGCTTCATGCTGAGGCTCCCAAACTTTCAGACATTGGCCCGGACGAGGCACGTTTCCAACTGAAGCCATGTTATGGCTACGGTGTTTGCATTTGTGGTGACTGTGTGCTTGCAAAGCGCTTTCACAGCAACCTGGTGGCATTCTTTCGCCCCTACCTCAGGGTGACCCGGGAACCTCGCCCCAAAGGTGCTGCAAAGGCCACGGCCAAGAAGCCGGTGCCAAGACTATTAATGGAGCAAGGAATGTTTGTTTTCAAATTTCAATCAATGCCTCTGGAGACAGAAGTTCCGGATGTTTCAGCAAGGTGGGAGCAGATTTGTGACAGCTTGGTGCATGGCTCAGAGATTGCAGTCGTGCCTTCGCGGTCAGTGTTTGAATCCCCGAAGCACGAGAGCAAGACAGTTTGGGCTCATGTTTCATTTGCAAACTATCGGGATTGGACGTTCAGTTTGTCGTTTCTGGAGGAAGCTGGTGAGGCAACAACAGAGTCAGGGCAGAAGCTGACAGTGCTGAAGGTGCCCGAGCAAGCGCAATTTGAGACAGATGTGGCAGCTTTCAAGACCAAGTTTGACTTGAAACCGTGTTGGATTGTTTCTGCTTATGTCATCTACGCCGATGCTGAGATTTTGCCAGATATGGATATGGCTCCAGATGTTGTGGAGGTGACCCGCTTGATGAGCATTCCGGAGCTTCGCCTGTGGAAGGCTTGTCGGGCTTGGTTTGTGCATTTGTGTTCTTTTGTTAAGTATTGCTGTCCTTCAAGTTTAATGTTTAATGTCATTGGTCGTTAGTCGTTAGTCAATAGTCATTCAATCATTAGTCATCAGCGTTGGTCACGAGTCAGTTGTCATTATTTCCCCATGTCCGACCACAAACATGGACAGGTAGAGTGTGTTACCTGGATGCTACTTGACTGCCACTGCTGCTGCTGCTGCTGCTACTGCTACTGCTACTGCTGCTGAGCTGCTACTGCTAAGCCCCTTGGCTCCGCCAGGTTGAGAAAGAGAGATGTTGTCGAAACAGCGGGACCCTGCCACCCCCAACAGTAACGGGTGCACTAGAAGGTCTGAGTGCCTCAACCTCAACACGGCTGTAGGCTGCATGATGGCTGCGCTTCTTGCCTGTCTGTTCCCACTTGCCCCACCATGGCAACAGGGCTCAAACTTTGTGCTACAGAGTCCCAACTGGACAGCCTCCAGTCCGTGTGCTTGGTCCGGCACTCAGCATCTGCAGCTCCCCTTACCTTTGTGGCCAGTTGCTAGGTGCACTTCAGAGCAGCTGTTTCCGAGCGCCGCCTTCTGTGCTCAAGCCTTGCTGTCGCATAGCCCGCTCAGCCCAGGATGTCCCCCAAGGAAGCACGGAGAGGCAACCCATCGAGGTCGCGATCTGGAAGACCCAAGGCCAAAGCAACGGTGGCTCCGGAGTCCTCTTCATCTGATAGCCCACCGAGCCCACCGAGCTCAGGCGAGGAGGCTACCGCTCCGCCAGCTGCTACCACAAGTGCTCCAGCAGGACCTCCCCCTCCAGTGCCGGTCAACAGGCCACGCGGAAGCGTTGGATGTGCCAAAAGCAAGCCCGCGGGGCCGCCCCCGCCGACCCCAGCATCCTGCACGTCTCTTCCGACAACACCGGTGCAGGCCTTCGCTGCCATGGCTCCAGGAGGTTTACCAGCGGGTGCTCCACCAAGCACAGGGCCTATCACTGTCGCAATGGGAGCTGTTCCTACGCTTCCATCGCCTACTACGACCTTGCTGCCTCCTCCGACTGCACCCCCAGCACCGAGTGTCAATGCAGCAGAGGGAGTTTCGGGCACACCAGCTGGACCTGTGCAACAGCAGCCAGCCACTATCACTACCAAAGTGGCGGGCTGGACTTTCACGCTTACGGTTAGGCCACCGAGCTGAGCCACGAGACAACAGGTTCTATGGTGGCCAGGCACGAGCTTTCTGCAGAGCTTGCACTACAGGTGCACCTGACAGCTGTCAGCTCTCTGCCGTCTCTTCCTGTATGCAGACTTGTTGTTTTGTGCCCAGCTGCCTCTCGAGTGGGACTCACAAAAGACGTGCTGTCTCTGTCAGCGCACTTGTACTGACACCACTTCGGAGCCAACTGTCACTGCTATCTTGGACTATCCTTTATGCTGACTGCACTGCCCAGGCCGACCTCATGGCAGACTCCGATGACTTCGCGAAGGCTCCAGGTCAGCGGTGCCCTCCATCTGCACTTGGCATACCTTTGTCGAACGCTGCTCGCCACAGGTCTCAGGTCCCTCGAGACGTCCACTTTGGTGCTCTCCCTGCCCATCACGGGGCTTGGATCTCAGTCCTGCAGCTGCAATCCGTGACCAGCCAACATGAGACTCTGCCGTGCTCTTGCATGCATTTTGCAGCCCCACCATGTGGTTATCGCGTGTGCCTGCAGCTCTCCACAAACCAAGCCACATTGATGACTTTGGTAGAGCATGTGGTCCTACAGTTGACTGCCACTACTTCTGACCACCTTGCTTCCCTTAGGGCTGGGAGACCTCTCGCCGAATACTTGCAGGTATCATCCCCTCAACTTCTTAAGTCAAGGGACTATCCTGTCTTAACGAGCCCCACCTGTGCCCTTCGAGGGATCATGGAGCCTGCCTCCGAGCCTGACCGGCCACAGTGGCAGGCAGCACTCGTCCCGCTTACAGTGGGGACCGAAGTGGAGGTGATCGACGGTCACAGACGTCATCTCGTCGGTCGCCGAGGGATTGTGCTCCCTACCTTGGAGTGTGACCGCAACACTACGCGGAATGTGCGGATCATACAAGGCCCTCGGGATGAACAACGTCGTATTTTTACAATCGACAAGGAGCACCTCGCTCCCCGACTGGGGTTGGAAGCCACACAAGCTTCCATGTGTGATGGAATGGAGCCGAGTCTGAGGTGGAGATGTGCTCCCCCACCATTAACCATTTACAGCGCCCGATACCTCCTCGGCTATCAGGCCCTGGAGACCATGGTGCCTCCGGCGGCACCCAAACGGAATCCAGCTGGCCACTATATCCATCCCCCGGTGGACGATGCTACGCTTGAGGCACCCTGGGAAAAACACGTTGACCAAGCTAGCGATCGGCCCTACTACTATCACCCGGGGACAAAGCAGGTGACCTGGCGCAAACCTCGGCCTGCCCTGGTTCTTCCGAGGGAAGAGGAGACTGGGCCCACCAAGCCCAGGCGAGGCAAGACTGCGATACCACAACCTCGTACTCCTAGTCCGCCTCCTCCCAAGAGGATGCGAAAGCATCCCACCAGCGATGCTCAGCAGAACACCACGAGCTCTACGACCCAGTCGTCAGCTTCTGCCACAGCTACAGGGACACCTACTACAGAGAGGAAGCCCGCTCCGGCCTTTGATCCCCAATCTTCTGGTGGCCCTTCTGAATGGAACCTGGCCGATCATGCTTTACCTGCCTCTCCAGATCGGGTACTGATCTGGGGGACCAAGGCCAGGACACAGCTGCCCCAACCGCCGAGTGCTCCTGCTTGTACCCTGGATGTGGAAAGGTTTCTGCAGAGCTTCTTCAGGACACGGCAAGGCCCCACTGGCACACCTCTTGCCACCCTACTTGGGGACCCAGTCCCGCAACCTGATGGTTGGTGGAGGCTCCCGTGGACACCACTGGATCCATCGCACTGCGAGCTGCTGTGTCAGGATGGCTGGCTAAGGGGCTGGCACGGATGTAAGATGGAGGCGCTATACTCCATCATCTACCATGGCCAACTTCTCCCGAGCACTGACGAGTCGAAAGGCGACAGATTCCTGGCAGGCTGTCCAGGGGTGTATCTGCACCGCGACAGCCTGCAACACAAGGTGGAGAACTACATGCGATGGATACCACTATGTGGAGATGGTCTCTTTTGGGCTGCCAAGTGGGAGGTGGTGTATGCTCCCTCGGGGAGCAACAAACATGGCAAGCGTACTGATCAGGTTATACAAAGTGCAGAGTCGGTGGAGCTGGTGGCCCTCTGGCTCTCAGTGCGCTCCGAGAACATGCTGCCTGAGGGAACTGCTGTGCAGGCCACATGGACGCCCGCCCGTGAGGCCAACCCTTGCCTCACAGAGTCCAAGCGACGAAGCAGTGCTTTGATACAGGCTGTGGACTTCGCGGCACTTTCTGCCTCCTCCAGACCTTTGCCCAGCTCCAGTTCGCGGTCTGACCCGGCGATCGACGACAAAGGCCGACTCAAGCCGACACCCAAAGCACATGGTCGCCTGCCACACATCCCTTCTGAACTAGAGAAGGACTGCACACCTGCACAAGCGAAGCTCACCATACAGGCAGGAGATCTCGTCCTTCGATCGGCTACAGCACATAGCTCGGAGACTCCCAATGCTCCGACCAAGGTTTCGGCTGCTACCTTGGCCGACCCATCAGATCCACCTCAACGAGGACCCAAACGGGTTCGATCTGATGCTTCCTCTCCGAAGCCAAGGAGGATGCAGACACGGCCCAAGCCGAGACGATCGATTTGGTTTGATGTCACGGACAATCCGGCCGATCAACCACTTACGACCTCCTCAACTGCAGCCAAAGGCCGTGGCACCGGGATGACCAAAGCTGCGAGGCACCAAGAACGTGTCCGCAAGAAGATGGCCAAGAAAATGGAAGAAATCTTCCAGGCCAATAGAGCCGCTGGGCTTCACTCGGACTCAGCGGCCTCATCCAGTGCAGCATACAAGGATCCAGCCTGCTGTTCATCATGTCCACGTCTGCATCGGCATAGCCAGTCTGGCCTGAAGACACACATGCCCCCCTCCCATCAATCGGGCAAGCTTCATGTCTTCGCTCCTCTAAGGTCTAGCCTGCTGGCGGCTTCGTCAAACCAGGATGACACAGGCAGGGATCGCTTTACTGAGTGCTCGGAGTTGCAGACCTCTGCACCTAGGTTCGGGCAGCCACCTAGGTGGGTTCCCTGCTCACAAACCTTCGTTGCTCCTTCCACCAGTCACTGCCTGCAACACTTGGGGCCATCAGGCTTGTATCTTCCGACCTGCCGGATGCCCGATGGCACGCCCGACTCCTTGCAGGTCCCTTCGTTAATCTGCTGGGGGTTTGAAAGGCACCTGAGCTCTTTTCCATGTACCCTTCCAGGCCTTGAACGTCCAGTGTGCACATCTACGACAATGCCAGTCGGGCTCACATGGCACTGCGGTGCCTCCCCACACCGTGCTCACTATCGCTGTGTCGTGCCTCGAGGTATGTCAGCTGCACTGGCAACAGGTCCTACTCTGTTGCATGCCTATTGCTCTCGTGATGATTGCTCCAGCCATTGCACCTGGCAGGGGTGGCCAGACGCTTTCCTGACTGACAGACCTGAACATTGCCTGGTGTGCCTTCGACACACCAGACCATCTGCTGCTGGACCTGCTTCGGTCCGGTGCCCACCTCCACCACCAGGAGCTGGTCTGCAACCCGACGGGCTCTCAGATCTTGAGACTGTCGCCCCCAAGCAGCTGCTAACCCCATCTCGCGGTTCCCTTAGCCTGCCTTCAGGTCTGTCTTCGCCATTGGGCGCAGGCCAGTGGATCGAGCAGACATCACCTCGAGATATGTTCCTGTCCAATTTGTGCAGGACATCCCGGGCACGTGGCTGGCCTATCGTCTGGCGGACCCATGCTGTGAGTGGTGTCGGCTTGAATATCGTAGAAGCACCCCCTATGCCACCCGCATGCAACAAACTAGCACCTCGCAGACCAACAAGATCAGATCCCGTGAGTCTGTTTCTGCCGAGCCGTTGCAACCCAAGGTTTCCCCTCCGGCCCTGGATCTGCACACTATGGATTAGATGTGTAGACGATCTGCTGCACCGTCCTCCGAAGTCGATGCCAGCATTTTTGACAACATGGACAACTGGCATCCCGAAGTGCCTCTCTCATAATCTCAACATACCTGCCCTGAGCCACTCCGGTCCCAATTCCGGAGACCGACTTTTTCATACGGCTGACAACCTGTTATCTCTCAGACACCCGCTGGTTGTCCATCTAGCCTCCGAACAGTCGGTAGGGGCGAGGGTTGTGAGCGGCTGCCACCCGCTCACGAGACCGAAACTCACCTTCGTGGTGGGGGACGGGAAGCCGTGGCAGGAGCCCAATGAACTACACTCTGCGGTGAGGGCAGTCTTGCGAGACCCCCCACAAAACCACACTACTTGCTTTGACCTAGGAGTCACTCTAGGCATCGCTTGCTCTCCTAGTCTGACCTCCACTCCGTTTTCAGTCATCTGTTCATCGTGGGCTGGTCCGGGTGATCAGACTGCAGGCCCCTGTGGAGTGCCAAACAGCCTGGACAAGCTGCTGCTAGGATATGCTCCACTGCAGTCCAAGCCCCGGTACTTATTCCTCTACAAACAGGGTCTCCCTGTTCGCCTCGTTGCCATCCGGGCTCCAGCACCTCTACATCTTACCTCTCCTGGCCTTTCTCGCTCTCGGAGGCCTCTCCCTGGAGTACACACACTAACACCTGCCACTCGACCAACCCACACTGCTGACAGGTCTTGCCCTCCGTCGACTACGCATTGCCCCAGCCAGACCCCGGGCACGACGCCGTACCCCAGGCAATGCCCTCGCCCCATCCTGTTCCTCTCGACTTTGTTTGCACTACCAAGGTCGATCTGGGGAGTGCCATCTGCACACCCCCTGCGTCCTACAGTTGCACATCACTCAGCGACCCTCAATCAGGCTACCGTCCATTCAAATGCGTACACATTTGCCAGGAAGAGATCCTATAAACGTGCCCTACGTCGTGCTGCACAGGACGAGGCCCAGCATACGATTTATCGAGGTCGTGTCTGTACCCTGCAACAGCTCTGCAAGGGCTATCGGGGCCATCGACCCGCCCCTCAGGCTGAGCGTCGTATGCAGCAGGCCGCTCTGAAAGTCTCCCAGGGACGCCTGCTGTTCCTCTCATGGAATGCTGGAGGCTTGTCCCAGGCCCTGTGGCAGGAATTCTTGCTGACACTTGAAAACATGCCACCTGACGAACGACCTCAAATCGTGTGTGTACAAGAAACACATTGGACGGACAAGGTGGCGCCAACATTCCCCACTGCTACCTGGGATGTGTACACCTCCCCAACCACAGACAACAAATCTGCTGGGCTCCTGATTCTTCTCAATAAGAATACTACCCGCAACTGCAGAATTGTTTACGCCGACCCTCAACCGGGCAGGGTGCAACACTTGAGGATACTCCACGACAAATGGGCAGTTGACCTGCTGCACATCTATCAAAAGCCGCACAACTCTCATCCGCTCGCACTGCAATCCTCGAAAACCATACGTTTAGCTGTCTGGGAGTGCATTGGCAAGATCCTGGCAGCTCTGCCTGCCCGAAACACAGTGATCATGCTTGGAGATTTTAATACTCAGATCAAGCCGTGTGCTGCAGCCGGCACCAGGATCTGTTCAGGCACCAGCACGAGCACACATCCGCCTGACCAGGCAAGGTTGCAGCACCTTGTTGAGGACTTCTCCCTCTTACACCTCAACTCATGGTGCAAAGCGGCTGGCCCTACATACCATCACAACAAAGGTGCTAGCCTTATTGATCATATCATCATGCGTTCCAGCCAAGCGGATGATCGTGCTAGGCAGGCGAGACCGCTCCGCCTGGGACTGGCTGCCTGGAGACTTGGTGGATATCACCTGCCACTGAAGGCCAGCATCCCGCTTCAGCGTTTCCACACTCTTAACAAACCGGTGGCACCACAACGGGCATGGGACCATTGGGGCCTGATTCAGGTTTGCTGCTCTACCTGGGATCCGAGAGTTCAAAGTCTACGCTCTGCTGTCCAGGCGTCCCTACCAGGGGTTCATGATCTTGGGCAATTGCATGAAACTCTGATCCACTGTGCCTCCCAATTCTTCCCGCCGCCCGCAGGACAGCATCGGCTGGCACTATGGCAAACACCGCCCATGCAGGATGGTATTCGCTCCATGTGGCAGGCCTACCGAGTCTGGAAGACAGCCAAAGCTCAAGCTCAGCATAATCCGCTTTATGTTTCCAGGTGCTACCATCACTTCAAGACGGCACACAAGGCCTTTCGTCGTGCCGGGAAAGAAGCCAAAAAGCACTGGTTCCATGGCAGGCTACAGGAACTCCAGACTGCTGCCAGTTCAGGCGACTCTCGCAAGCTATATGCTGGCATTCGTACCTTAGCTCCCAAATCCTCCAAGCCGAAGGTTCAACTGCGAGATTCTGGCGGACACCTGCAGGATCCCAAGACCCAGCTAAAACAGCTGGAAACGCACTATCGCAAATTGTATGCTGCGGACGAGGATGGCAGCATACAGGGCCCCCAGCGACAGCCCATTCACATTGAAGTCACGGAGGCCGAAATGACCCTGGCGCTTTCGCAATTGTCACCACATAAAGCTACACCTCCGAACTTAGCCACAAACTCTCTATGGAGGCTGACCTCGGACCTTGTTGCGCCTCTCTTGTGCCAATGGTGCCAGCAATGGCCTCAAATACCAGAGCTTTGGAGAAGCGCATGGTTGACTCTTGTTCCCAAGATTCCGCGACCACTTTCACCAAAGAATCTCAGACCTATAGGGTTAACTGAATCCAGTGGCCGTGCATATGCTTCCATACTGCAGGCGAAATTGCGCCCCTACGCCGAGAGATTCCTTGCAGACCAGGCACAATTTGCATATCTGCCAGGTCGCAATGCTGCCCAAGCCATACATCGGGTTGCTGCACACTGCAAATATGTTCAGGATCGCTGCTCGTTTTCAACACCTACGGTTATTGACCGTCACGCACAACAGCCGAAACCCTGCCCACACTTTGCAGGTGCACAACTATCGCTGGACCTGTCCAGTGCTTTTGATCTCATGGACTGGCGCCTGCTGGACAAGGCTTTACTAGCGTCCGAAGTTCCGGCTGAGCTCAGACACCAAATCATGTCCTGGCACTCTGAAATCTCCTATGTCCTTACTCACCTTGGGCACACTGCCAAGGTGGAGGCCCAAAGAGGACTTAGACAAGGGTGTAAACTGGCTCCGTTGCTCTGGACACTCGCCCTAGCACAGATATATCGTGAGATCCTTGCTGAGGGGGACCCGCTTCTCACAGCACCTTGGCTAGAGCAATGCTCCACGATTTATGCTGATGACATACACCTCAAGGATACTGTGCAGAACACTCGTGAGCTGGACGACATGGTGCATCGCTTTAGTAAGATCCTCGATGCCCTTGCGGCCCATGGTATGGTCATCAACTCGGCCAAATCAGCATTGCTACTGAGACACAAGGGCAGTTTCATCAGAGGCTGGCTGCGCCGACACCTCATACCCAAACCCGAGGGGGACCTCCTACGTTTTCGCAGTCCACGGGGAACAGTGTATGAAATTCCATTGCGTGACCATCACACGTACTTAGGCATACGCATCTCCTACCATTCACAGGCCAAACAAGCAGTCACCTATCGGCTGCAGGCTGCGAATCAGGCTTGGCAAAGACTCCGTGGTGTACTGTGCTCCACCAGGCATCTCGCTCAGACGCATCGTCTCAGTCTATGGAAATCCACAGTGCTTCCCACGCTGCTCTATGGCATCGCAGCATCCAACCCAGGTGCCAAGGACATCCAGCGAATGCAGCACATGATGACCAAGCAGGTTCGAGCCATCACACGATCCTTTGCACATCTTCAGAAAGAATCCACACAGGACCTTCTACACAGATGCTCTTTGTCCACCATTTTGGAGCACCTACAGAGGGAAGCCGCTGCCTTGCATCGTAGCCTGACCCGCCTGAGCACTGAAACGAGCTTCGTGACCCAAGCCCAGGTGGAATCAGCTCGAGACACTGCCGCTACACTTCACCTCCAAGTGCAACGCCAATGGCAGGTCCCTCTTGGGGACACAGAAGGCATCACAGATCCTGCTGTACATCAGTGCCAGGAATGTCATCGGGTCTTTACCTCCTTTCGGCTCCTCCGCTCTCACGAGGCTAAGTGGCATGGCCTCAAAACACCTGCTGCTGTCTCGGTGCCTTTTGACAGGTATGCACATGGAACAGAAGGACTTCCAACGTGCAGACACTGTGCCCATCCCTTTCGACAATGGGATGGCCTCGTCAAGCACATTAAACGCAATCGGTGTCAGGTACTCCGTAGACTTGCCACACAACCTCCTGCTGCTGCCCCACCCTTGGCTCCGAGTTCTGATGACTCCGATCCTGTACTAGTCCCTGACCCGGCTACTCTGCCACCCCAGGATCTCTCTCCGGGGACCCACATCCTGTCAGACGATCAGGCTGCTATGCCCCCGCCTACTCCTGTCGATATACCTGAACCCCCTGTCTTGGATGCTCTCCTGCAGGATAGCTCCACTTCGCCGAGCCACGAGGCTGCTCCTCTCTATCAGCAATCTCATGTCCTTGAGACACTAAGTGCCCGCAGGTGGACTGACCTCCTTGTGAAACCGGAGACCTACTCGTATCTCCAGCACCACTGCCCGCTGTGTTACCAGTGGCTAGCCACCCCTACCAGCATCAAATATCATCTCACCATGCAACATCCGGAGTGGAAAGAATGCCAACCTGCGACTCTCAAGCTTCTTACTGGTTTCCGCCGACATACTGTTGTACCATGTCGATACTGCCATCAGCGAAACATCAACAAAGATCGTCATTGGAAACAGTGTCATGTTTTGCATATTTGTGCCTTTCTAGCAGTGCACCATGACACTCTGCGCGGATCCCATGGAGCTGGACGAGCAGGAGAAGCAATTTTGGGCCCATGCCGGTCCGGTCAAACGGGAACAGGAACCAAGACGAGATGTGATGCATCAAACCGAGCAATCCAAGAGGCAGCGTCTGGCTCCGCAGGACCGGAACAAAGGCAAGGGCAAGGGTACCAAGGGCAAAGGCAAGGGAAAGCAGGGCCTACCAAGTCCATCCAGTGCCAACCAGGTCACGGGCTACACAAATGGTTTCGGAAGCCATCCACCCAATCCCTGGACACAGACTCAGGACCTGCAGCCACTGGGAAATCACGATCCAGACTGGATGGAGTACAGGATGAATCGACTATCCCAGCTGGTCCTTCGTCAGGAGCAAATCATCTCAGCCATCCGTCAGGATCTGGTCCTCTACCTCTTTGTACGATCAGGGCCAGAAGGGATGGTACCGGTTCTCTGCGAAGCAGCGGAGAAGTGGAGGAAGATGAAAGAGGAAGAACCCGAGAAGATTACTTACTCCCTCAAACTCATGCTCTTCAAGCAGCTGCTCATCACCTTACACCAGAGGTTGACCAACATGATTGCGGACGAGGATGCTCTCGCCAAAGCCAAGAACCTGAACTGGATCGACGATCAGAAACATTGGAAACATCTTACATGGAATCCTACCAAACAATGTCTGGAAGTCGACAACTCGGTGAGGCCAATACCGGCGGAAGATCTGTTGGCCCAACTGGTTCAGATGAGGAAGGCTGTTACGGAAGAGACCCTGGTGAGGTTCAAGTCCATGAGGAAGCTCACCACGGAGGTGACCTCCGACTGGATTCAATTCCAGATCTGCATGTCCCTTCGCCCAGAGGGAGGAGCCATGTGGAGCACGCTGAACCAGTGGATCGGACAAGCATCGTGGCACACCCTGGGCTGCAGGCTTCGCCGCGATCGGCCGAACTACGACACCCTGGTCCAGGAAGTGTGGCAACATCAGATGCCATACTGAGTGTGCGCCCTAGTCTCAAGGCTGTCCTTCGATTGATTTTCCACAATCCTTCAAACTTGTGCTACCTGCACTCTACGATCTATGCACTATTGTGGACAATCCTTCAGGCTAGGCTGCATGATGCCTACGTTTCGCCTCCACCGCAGGCTCTTACCATGTTGTGTCCACCAATCACTGCCACACCCAATTGCCCCATTCAGGTACTCCACTCGGTACCGTGGCTTATGCTGCTGCAAGCTTGGCCTTCTGTGCATCGTCAGCACGATGCAGCTGAACTGCTACAATACCTTCTACCCAGGTTCTCGCATAGTGGGTTCAATGGTGGCTGGGAGGCCCGAAACTTTGTACCTGGAGGTATTGCCACTCTTGACAAGGGGCCTACCCAAGCTCCCATTCCGATTGCGCTGCCGGTAGGTCCAAGTCTGGAGCTCCAAGCAGCCATTGATGGGTGGAGTGCTCAGGTTACAGCCCGCTATGCACTGCTGAATCCGTCTCCCATGCTCTGTATACAACTCCAACGCTTCACAAATGCCGAGGGAGTTATGCGCAGGGACACCAGACCACTGGTCGTGGCCTCGACTACAGTTCGTATGCCACTCTTTACAGGTCTGCACACTATGCAAGTTCGCTATGTTCACTACCAGGTTGTCGCTGTACAGCTTCACTACGGGGCCACTCCTGATATGGGGCATTACAGAACTATCCTACGAGGACAACCGCTGTTTGGAGCAGAAAAGTGGTGGATCACTGATGACTCCTGCATCGCAAAGCCAGTCAGTACAGAACACGATGACAACATATATATAGTGTGGCTACGTCAGGTACTACCTCCTGGTGCCTGACGCTGAGCAAGTGTAGTCTTAGTCGATGGAGCTGGCACTGCCCTCCAGAACCCAACAGAGGTTCCGATACCCCGAAAACCGGGTTATCGTCAGCTCGCTAGGCGAACCCGGACACTTCGCTGCGTGGTGAATGAATGAGCTGCTACTGCTGGTTTTGTCTGCTGCAGCTTCAGCCAAGAGTCTAGGACTTTGAGGTGTTTAGATTCTCTGGTTCATGAATGGAGTATGGCTGGCCCTGGGTCACAGCCTTAGTCCCGTATGTATATATATATATATATATACATATATGTGTGTGTGTATGTATGTGTCTATACAGTTTATATATGTATATATATATATATATGTCTATGCAAATAAAGTATAAATAGAATAAATACGTAAATGTAGCAAATGATGGGTTTGGAGGTTTTGCCTTGGGGTTAAGGGCAGCGCTTAGTTTGGGGAGTTAGGGTATTGGGGTAAGGGTTTGCAGGAATATTATAAAAGATGGTGTTCATACTGTATAGTACAGTGTATGGGAGATCAGTCGAATCTAAGTAAAGCCAAGCCCGGCCCTATGCCCTATGCCATATGCCTATGCATTCATTTCCCTGGGGCCCCTGCCAGGGTGCGAAGGAAGAGAAACAGCACATCAGTCAGCACAAGCAGGACAAGAAACGAAAGCGCGGTGCTGGAGCTTCTGGTGGGGGCTCTTCCAAAGCCAAGGCCCCACGACTTCTAACTGAAGGCACTGCTGACCATGAAGCAACTGATGACGTGATAGAGGAAGATGCAGCTTCAATTGCCAGTGATGGTTCAAATCCAGAGTCCGAGGATGATGCTCCTGTGCCACCCTGGATCGTGAAACAAATTGAGGAGGCAGAGGACGCAGTGCCCAAAGCCAAAGCCAGGCTTGCAGGGCAGAAGAAGGGTCGCAGCCAGCAGCTTACGTTTGCAAGAAGGGTGAGAGATCAGTCACGGCCCGAGACAATGACAAGCCAGGCAGCATCTTCCGCTGACCATGTCGAGGTTGTTGCCCCTGCTCCGGTTGAAGCCACATCTGACACCGCAGCTGCCGGGACTGGAAGACGAAACTTGGGCACGGCTCTGGTGTGGCAGCCAGTCTTGTGTCCTCACTGCAGAAAGGAGGCCGGCCGGTGGAAATTGAATCATAGCCCAGGTCAGCGAGATCCGGCTACGTACCACATGACTACTCGGTTGTGTGATGGCTCCTATGCATCTGCAGGTGAAACTTACAAAACACGGCGGCAGCATCTGACTTCTGAAGAGAAAGTTCGGCAATGGATTCTGCTGAACAAGGTTTTTTGCAAGTGTCCAGTGGCGGCTTCGTCAAGGTCATAGCCACAGTCGCAGGTCGCAGTCACTCAGCCACAGCCGCCACGGCAGTCTCGAGCAAGTGTACTCTTGTGTGTCTCTGCAGCAAAAAAGGAGGACTTCGTGAGTCTTCTGGTCGCCCACAGTAGGTCAGGAGCTCCGAGTAGCAATAGCAGTCAATAGCAGTAACAAAGTTACTAAGTAGCAATAGTAGCAGCTCAGTATGCACTAGGCCCTAGACTCTCAGCAGCCTGCAGTAACCAGTAGCCAACCATTAGTTCAGTAGCCTCCGTCAATAGCCGCTCAATAGCCATTGGGCCGTAGACATCGTGGAAGATTCTGATTGGATGTCGCAACTGCTAGGCTAGATTCCTAGCTGCCATTGCTGCTGCTCATGTGGCAGACCTTTCACGATTGGCAGGCTTTGGGTTTCGAGAGAAACGAGTTTCACAAATTGTCACTGCAGGATTGAACCGAGCAAAGTGTTTACTCTACAGTTTGGCACTAACCTAGAACTTGCTAGAACCTGGGCATGCCCACACATTGCAGGATCTATCTCGTGCTGTTGCACATGGATGCGTATGCCATCGAGGATGCAGAGCGGCTTCAAGGCATGGTGGACGCGTCTTGTCAACGCATGAGGTCAGGATGCTAGCTGCCAGTTGCTAGCCGGCAGTAGTCAGTAGTCGCTACACTGCTACACGCTATCGCAAACTGCTGCTAACTTTTGCTGAGTTCAATGTGGCTGATTTTTAGGCTAATTGCTAAGTAGACAATTAAGCTCAGAAGAAGGTAGCAGTTGACAATTATGGCAGCTACAGCTACTGCTTCAGGCTTCGGCTTCGAAGCTATAACGTGCAGCTACAGTGACAAGCAAATCTTCTGGAAGTTATTCAGGATATATTTCGTTTGTTAATGTTAATGGACATGGATCCCAAGCCCTACAGCCCAAAAGCTTGATTCCCAACTGTTCGACCTTGCACCCAAACCCCGAAGCCCTGAACACCGCCATGACCCCAAATCCAATTCCGAAAACACACAAGTGCGGTACCCAATTCCTGAGCCCACCCCTTGAAACCCTATAACTTATTGAGCGCCGAAACTGAACCCTAAAGCCCCAAACTACACCCTAAACTCCAAAACCCTGAGTCCCAAACCCCAAATCCGAACCCCAAAGCCCTGAACTCCAAGTCTTGAAGCCTGAACTCCTTTCGCGCCCTGGCAAAACAAATCACATAGTGACATAGTTCATAAAGTGTTGTCCGGCAGTGGTACCTAGGTCCTAGGTGCAAGGTAGACTACTAACCACTAATTACTACTAAGTTACTACTACAGTCTGAGTCCAGTGCAAAGTGCTGTCTGTCGGGACCAGTAACCAGTAGCAGTGCAAGCTTTATTCAGTTGCAGTTGATCTCTGAATCGTTTGTTGGTCAGACGGTCCTGGCAGATCCTTAGTCCACTCACAGGTTGTTACTGTGACTTCAAACAAGTTCTGTGCAGTTGTGTCCATGCTGATGCATGCTTGTCTCAGGAAGTGCGGAAGGGGCAGGAAGGTTCCGGCCAGCGGCTGCATTTCACTGACTTGCTCATGGAGCCGGACATGGATGGATTTGCAGACAAGCTTGCAGCTTTGGTGGAGCAGGAATGGTTTGGTCGAACATGCACTCGCTATTGATTGTAGCTTGTGACTTCGATGTTATGAGCTATGCTGCGAATAGTGACTAATCAGACTAATAGTGCCTAGAGTCTGGAGTAAACAGCAAGAGTTCTTGTGACCAAAATGATTAGAAGCATGTGCATATGTGTGTATATGTATATGTATAGATTCTATGGCATTTGGACACACGTGCACAGTGTTCAATGTCCATAATGTATAACAGAAAATCACACCCATCGGTATCGTGCCACACATGGATCACATTTTGGTTCACATTTTATTTGTTGCTTTTGCGCAGGCACATTTTCCAGCTCTTTGTTTTTGCATTTCGGAACACAATCTTCTTTACGATTTCCCTGCAGGGTGCATGTTCTGACAGGAGAGTTTCGCATGGTTGTTTACATTTTCACGGACAGCTGCAATATTCATAGCATTTGTTTTACATTTTTTTCACTTACCAGAGGAATCTCTGTGCCTTTCCCAATTGCAAATTCGCCCACCTTTGCGCGGTTAGGGGCTGCGGCAAGGAGCACTGCGCCGTTGACCACGACAAGAAGCCTTCGTGACTAGGCCCTGCATCAGAGCCCCAGACGCAACAGCCGCTTCAGCCACCTCCCAGCACGAGCTGTTAGCCATGGAGCAGCCTCACTCAACCGGGAGCCCACCGCAGGACCCGCCGTCCACATCCCAAGCCACAGAATCACAGCAGACGCATCAGCCTCGGCCAAGCGCAACACGCAACTTTGGTGGGGGTCCGGCAGGACGAAGGTTTGCCAACCGGGTGTGGACGGCGCGGAGCTAACGCCAAGCCCATAAGCCCCCTGTAGTCCCCAGCCTTAAGACCCTAGCCGTTTGCCCTTCCAACCCCATAGGCTCCACCTGCCTCAGACATGCCCGTGACGCCAACGTCTGCGCCATTGACCTCTCGCAAGAAGACGGCCAGGAAATGCCCGACCTTCTCCTTCAGGCAATTTGGTCCCGGGTGGTTCTAGGCCTCATTGCACTCATAGCCTCAGCTCCTTTGCCCACGTGGCCTTGTGCCGACCCGGGTCTCGCAGCGGCAGCTGGGATGTTTGCGGCCATGCCGCGCCCCTTTCTACCACACCCGCCCAGCCTCCGACTCTAGCATCAGCCGTACAATGCCATGGGGAGCTGGCCCACGACAGGGCCCCCATCTGTGATGGGGCCGGCAACACCAGCTCCGCGGACTGGAGCCGACCCCAGCCGAGCCCTGCGGCCATGCAGGACATCATGCAAGCCTGGCTCAAATGGGCATTGGGCATCCCAACGCGACCTGCCCAAGCGAGTCTTTGCACACCTCGCACAAAGCAAGCCAGATCACCCCATCCCGGAAGAAGACCTGCGAGGTCATGGAATGGGACTACGACTCCATGACGCAAGCCGCCGAAGGACAGCCCTTTCGCCTTAATCTTATGCAAGCCTTTGCAGATCTCCTCAACGACCCAGACAAGGATCTCCCAGCCATGCTACGCGTGGGGTGCACACAGGAGTCTTTGATCCCATTGAGCCCTCAGGGCTTTGGCCACTAGCCAAGATCCAGCCTCTGGCCTCATCAGGATTGGAGGTCTGCGAGGGGAACTGGAAGCCAGCTGAGGCAGACCCGGATACAGTACGAAGCCTTTTAGCAGACGAAGAAGCCGCAGGATGGATACAGCCCGTGCCAGGCGGCCTTGAGGAAGCCAAACAACTTTGGCCCAAGGGCATCGCCGTCGGCAAGCTCAGCCTTGTGAAGGCGGAGAACAGAGACCCTCGACTTGTGCTGGATAGCACGGTCTGCCAGGTCAACCCCATGTGTCGCATCCCTGAAGCGGTCGCAATGCCTACCGTCAACGACGTCCGGGCCACCTTCATGCCGTCAGACCCGCGAGGGTCATTTCTTGCAGCCAGTGTGGACTTCAAGGCAGCCCACAAACGAGTCAAGGTTCACCGCTCGGAACAAGGCCTACTCCTATTCATGTTTGAAAAGATCCTTTACAGGTACGTCGTTTGCCACTTTGGAGCTAAGTTTTCAGCCTACTGGTGGCAGCGAGTAGGAGGCCTTATTACTCGCATTGCTCACCATGCGCTCGCCTTCGCCCCGCACAAAGCCTGGCTCTATGTCGATGACCTGCTTTCAGCCTTGCTCCGCGCATTCGCGCCGGAACTCTTGTTCCTCCTCATAGCCACACTGTCAAGCCTTGCCGCTCCGATTAGCTGGAAAAAGGCCTCAGTAGGGGACAGCCTTGTGTGGTGCGGCTGGCACTTTAATTTTCGCCTGGAAACCGTCGAACTTTGCGAGGCCAAGCGGGCCAAGCTTTGTGGCCAGATTAAAGCCTTATTGGCTCGCAAGAAGGTCCCCAGGAAAGACCTGGAAGCCTGCGTAGGCCTACTCATGTGGGCTACAGCCATCAGCAAGGTTCTGCGAGCCCACGTAGCGCCTTTGTACAGTGTACTCAACAGCCCTCCAGGCAGTAATTGTTCTATCTCCCCTCGAATGTGGCCAGCCTTCCTTCACAGCCTCGATTCCAGAGCTGTCATCTGCAGGCTCGTACCAGGAGTCAACATGCCGCTCAAGGCCCGGATCGTTGAGGTCGGCAGCCGATCAGTGCAAAGCCGATCTCCCGCCGCAGCCTAAGTCCTCGGGACCTACTTGTGGGTTCGCATCTCCGATCCCACTTGCCCTGAGATCAAGCTGACCGACACGGCCCAGGACAGCCTACGGTGGCTACTGCCACGCATTGAAGCCATCCCGACCACAAGCCTATCGCTTCCGCCCCTTGTCGCTTGCCTAGCCAGAGCTGACGCCATGGCTGAAGGGGACAGAGTCGGCGTAGGGGGATGGATCACCACCAAACACAGCATGGCCTGGTTTGCCGAAGCCTGGACCATGGACGAGGTGAGGAACACATGGCCTTTTCTCACCAAGGATGCCCAGAAATACATCGCCTGCTTTGAGACGCTGGCTCAGCTTGCACTCGCCATGACAGCCCGAGAACGCCACGCCTTCTCGCAGTTTTCGGTCTGCTTGCCATCGCAGAGCGATAACACGCCTTCCGAGGCGGGCATCAACAAGCTTTTCACCACCAGTTGGCCCCTCTCACAGTTCCTACAGCTTATAGCCTCCTGGTCCTTCTGCCATGGAGTTGACCTACAGGTGTCTCACGTTGCAGGAGCACACAACCAATGGGCGGACGACCTCAGCCGAGGTCGGCTTCAAGCCTTCAGCCACAGACCTCAAGAACGAGTGCGGATCAGCCTTCACCGACTTGCATCGGCGGCCTCCCAGGCCACTTGGTCTGGATCCCCAGACACAACAAGCCCTTTGTTGCCCAGACCGGAGTGACGGCTTCGCCGAGACCGACTCCCGCCCGCCAGGCCGAAGTGAAAAAGAGGACCGCTGCCTTCCCGTCTGTTTGCTATGGGACACTTTGCCTGCTCCTTGACCTTGCTCTTCCTGCCTGCTCAGGTCCACCTCCACCGCCCGCGGTGGGGGATTCTTGCCTGCTGCCTTACCGGTTGGATCTGTCCCTGAAGTGGGGGAGTTTATGCCTTGGCTAGCCCTCTAGACCTTGGCACCTCCGGGCTAGCCGCAGAGCCTTACAGATCCAATACGGTATAAAAGATGGCAGCAAGTGATAGAGCAGCAGTGCAAGCCTTTCTAGAACGTTTCGTGTTTTTGTTCACGTATGTTTTAGAAGGCATGTGAATCTATAGCACATCGCAGCACTGGCTCTAGCACTTGAGTTTTCTCGAAAAGCCCCACCCACCCACACCTAGGCTTGGCTTTCGGCCCCGGCCTCAGCCTTCTGTCTGGCCTTTCTTCGTTCAGCCTTGAACACACTGAGCGTCGCAGCCACGCCAAACAGCCTTCAGCTCCTGGGTGGTCCTCCGGCGAGGCCCTCCGCTCACACAAGCTGAGCCTGCTCCTTTGCCACGGCGGCTTGCCTTAGGTTCGCCGTCTAGCCTACTGGCCTCACCGAACCTGCCCTCTGTCGTGTCCCTAGTGCCCTAACCCTTTCGGTTGCCCGCCCGAACCCGCCCTGCCAGGTACTGCCGTCTACATGCTCCACAACGTCTTCTTTGCCTTCCGCGTCCCGAACTGACAAGCATTCTCACCTGGTCGTATGTCTCACGGAGCGCTCTTGTCCTGCCTCAGGTCCAGACGATAGCCTTTTGCCTTACTCAGTGCCTCGCCTGACCGGGTACTCTGCAGCATTGCCTCTTCTCAGACTCTGAGAACTAGTTTCACGCTCCTTTGGAGCTTGCCTGCATTTTGCCTTTCAGAAGTTTCACGGACTTCTCACAAAGACTAGCCTTTGGCGGAGTTTATGCCTTGGCTAGCCCTCTAGACCTTGGCACCTCCGGGCTAGCCGCAGAGCCTTACAGATCCAATACGGTATAAAAGATGGCAGCAAGTGATAGAGCAGTGCAAGCCTTTCTAGAACTTCTTTAGACTGAATCTGCCCTGCAGCCTCAGTCCCCTCCGTGCTAGCCGCACAGCCTGCAGATCCAATACGGTGAAAAAGAGAGAGCGATGTGCTAGAGCAGTGCAAGCCTACCTAAAACAATATGGTTCCACCTGCAAGCCAGGAAAAGCCGGCGAGGCTTTTGCAGCTGCAGCGGTCGAAATCTTCGAAGAGCAATTCGAGACATTGCAGCCTCAGCGACCTTCATGAATCTCAATGCTTTGGGATGTGTGGTTGATGGCCTCTCGCGGTGCGAGCAGACAGCCCTCTTCAAACTTGAGTTCTCGAACACAGAGTGCTTTGAATTGGAGAGTGCTCTGAATTGGCAAAATGTGTTTTGCTCAGTTGATTGCTTGGAAAGGTTTTTTGGAGGTGGTCCTGGGCGGCCCGAAAAAACTCAGGGTGAAACCGTTTTTGGATGGGTTTGGGTTTCGGAAGCTTATGGTCTGAGGGCTTTCGGGTCTTCTGTCTTGGCAGCTTCATCCGAGGCCTTCGAAGGCAAACGGTGCTCGGTTGCGACCTCGAATCCGAGCCTGTTCTCGAAGAGCGAGAATTTTGTTGACATGCTCGTTCCAGCGCAGATTTCCGTGTCCGGCGCTGACCGGGAACCGTTTCCCGACCAGTGCTTCTTCGCCAAATCAAGGTAAGGAGCTCGAAAGTTACGATCATTTGTCCAGCTCTTCCCTCGCATGATGCAAATGTCGCACACTGTGAAGTTCTTCATTGACGGGTTTCGTAAGGAGGTCTTTCAGTTCTGAGGCACCGGGTCGAAGGACAAGTTGGATCTCTCCCACAGGAAAGGATGCTGGTGTTAGGCATTGGGTGCCATGGCAACAACCGCAAGATGAGTCCTGAAACAGCCGTCTTTCGGGCAGCAGTTACAACGTGAACTAATAGGTAATTACATACAGTTCGGACGTGAGATCGTAGCTTCACGCCTTCCATCAATGAATGTTGGGTTTTGCACACACCAGCCGCAACACCGGTTCAAACTAAAGCTCTAGCGAGGAAGGAACAAGAAAATAAATTCAAGATTGAGCCAGAAAGGTAATACGTTTGGTGCAGCAAATCGCTTTCTTTGTAGCTTCGAACATACTTGTTCTACACGACAATTTACAACAGCTAAAGCGACAAAAAATCCTAGCTCTTGAGCACCAGACTCTTGCTCCTGCGCCGCTGGTCGCTGCTCCCCCACTTCTGCGCTGGCGTGGACCGAGGTGACCAAGAGCCAATATGTGAAACTGCGGCAGTGAAGCAAATGGAACCAATGTAGAAAGTTTACCTCTCGCATTTCAGGTCAGGCGGCACGGTGGATGGAAGCGCACATCAACACTAAGCACTCGCTCCTGTATCCGGTGAAGGATAGTGAGACTGAGTCGATGAAATGAGAAGCGTTCTGCCAAGAAACGTGTGCGATTTGCACCCTGCTGATGCGCTCCGCGAGATCGCATGCAAAAACTGGCGCCGCATGTGCTGCGTCAAGGATAGGAAATCGGCATGATCAAACTAAGCCATGTGTAAATCGAGAAACACGAAGCGTTTTCGCTGGCACTTCGTACACAACACACTACATCCCTGTACACACTCTGCCGACAGCCATTCCTCGCAGACATATCGCGACCTTGTGAGGGCGAGGCCCGACCGATTCGCATCCACGATGGCTGCAGTCGCCGAACTCGAAATGTAGAATGTGGGATGCAGTGTGCCGATGTCGGGATGTCAGCGAAACCGCGTTTGGCTGCGAAGGCGAAGGTGATTTTGCTGATTTCGTCTTTCCGCGCGCGCAGCTACTGTAGCACCGCAGGCAAAAGAGGGAATCGGTCGCTTCTCAAAATATCGCGATACATCTCTGCAAGAAGTGGAATCATAGAATGCAGAACTCTCCGGACAAGGCGGATGGCAACACGCCCTCCGGTGCTGTTCTGCTCGGTTCTGTGTCTGTGACTGTGTCACAGCATGTCCGTGTTGGCGCCAGTCGCGTCCACACCACACAAGGCTACTCCCCTTTCGCTTGTGAAGGGCATTCCTAACATCAGGTATGACACGTCTTCGCAGGACTGCCACTGCCTGCTCGAAATGCAAGGAGCCCAGAAGCCTGTTGCACTCCGCAATGACCATCGGCGAGCAGCAACATGAAGGACACGTCTGCGTTAACCTTTTTTTGTTTTTTGTTTTGCGGTCTTGTGGGCGAACCGCTAGCATGGCGACTTCTTCATTCTGTCAAGCGTTCTGCCTCAAGGGCCGAGCCTGTCCCTTGAGCCGTCGCAACCTCGGCTTGATGCAGTTGCATAGCATGCCTTGTTATAGCATCGACTATGGTGCCCGCTGCCGAGGCAAAGTTCCGGGTGAGGATCCACATCATCCGCTCGGAGCCTAGTCACAGCGGACCTGCTGATCTCTAACCTTGGGGTAATGCATGCACCGAAAGGGAAATGGAACTAGGTCACAGGGCGGCGAATTTTGCCCGAAGACCGGCATGATTTTGTTCCATGCAAACATGCGGCGGCCAAATCCCTCACACAGAGGATGCCAGGAGAAGTTGTTGCCGTTTGTTGTCATTCAAGTTGGTTTGATTGGTTTGCTGAGCTTTTTGCACACACTCACTTAATGGCTCAACCTTGGGATTGGGGGCTAGGAAGGGACGGCTATGGGCTGCTGTCAAACAGCTGGCCAACTGCAGCTTACAACCAGTTTCACGTCAACGGGCGCATTGAGACCTCGCCCGGCTAGTCCTGCTGTGAGAGCGCGCGCTCGACACAAATGCGATGTGCGACGCCCGCAGGTGGAATTCGAGTTTTCACATCGAAAGTTACCTGTCTTCTGTTGCCTCGGTTTGCTTCTACCGTGATTTGTCTCCTCTTGCCATGAGATGAACAGGCGAGACAGCTGGCTGTGCTTTGCTTTTCTTCGTAGACGGTGACTTTATTTCGTCGCTGTGGCCCAGATCAAGGACATGACCTGCATTCACAGCATCATTCCGTCGTTGAGACGGAGTCTACACTTCCAGGTGCGCGCAACCTGCGCCAGCAGACTTGGCGTTGATCAGCCAAAGCAAGCCGAGACCTCAAATCGGGACATGGTCAAGCTCACGAGGGCATGCAAGCCTTACCAGTCGCATTAAAAGTCACGAGGGGAACTTCCAAAGGCAAGATCTTCAGCCAAGGTCCGATCCGTACTGCATTTGCAGACTCGCTGGGCGACGGCCTCGAGTTTCAACTCCGGGGTGAAGGTGTCAGAGAGTAGTGGGCAGGCCTTCACCACCTCACGTAGACTTGGCGATCCACCGTCTAAAGTCTAGATTCAACACTCATGTCGTTTGTTTCCCGAGGCGGCCGGAGACAGAAGTCCGCACCCAGACAGTCATGAGGTCATGAAGACGTCGGAACCCCTTTGCGCTTTGCGTGCTTGTTGTAGACGGGTCTACAGCTGCTTTGCAGTCGTTATGCTTGAAGCAGCACAACCACTCCCATGCACGTAGGTTCATGCTTGCTTGCTAGTATCAACAGCGTGGGACATGCTTGCTAGTGTCGAGTGTCCATCGCATCAGAATCAGCCATGGCCGCTAGCAATGCTTTCGAGACTTACTCCAGGGGCGAATTCGAAACCTGCAGACAGTATTTGGAGCAGATCCAGCAGAATCTGACGACGGCGGCAGATGTGAAGGTGACGCACAACATCCTCATTAACGACTACTTCAAAGCCGGCTGCGCAGATCCCCGCAATCTTCTCACTCTTCTGACCCAGGCATACGAAAGGGCAAGGGGAAAGGAGAAGATTGACAAGGGCGAGCGGAAGAAAGAGGAGGAGGAGGACTCTTGCCTCCTTGGTTTGATCATGTTGGATCTGTCTCCTGAGTCTGCTAATCGGACTCAAGTCCACCCGACCGTCGTGACCAGGATGGCATCCGTGAAGATGATGCCCTCTACGTGCTCCGGTACAACCAAGCGCTGTTGTGTGTTCAGCTGCGACACTATGGGCAGGCCGGGAGCTTGTGAGCCTTTCTTGCACGGCTCAGAGAGTCACACGCCTCAGCGGTCGCCGTCTCAGGCACGACAGATTCTGGAGGAACTCTTCAAGACCCTAGCTCGCAGTACTCGCAGTGTGCATGTGATGGGTTCATTGTCCAGTCAGACCTCCCCAGCACGCATTAGGCATTGCAGCGCCCAACCCGCGGACAAGCGGAGATGTTGTGCCAGTGCGCTAGTTAAGCTCCTCATCGCTGTCACGTTGAATCTGTCCTGTTGTGGTGAAAGTTCCGGAGGTGAGCAATCTAGAATCAAGTTAGCTGTTTCATCCGAGTTTTTGCCACCTCGAGCTGAGAGCCTTTTTTCGACGGGTTTTGGGGGAGGTGCAGACCTGAATCCGCTCCAGGCCAACCAGTGAGCATAAACAACACTCTTAGGTACCTTTTGCTTTCGGTGCAGGGACAGCTGCTCACCGGTCTTCTGAAGGCAGAGCTGCACCAAGCCAACAGCAGCCTTTCAGTCTACAGTCCTCGATAGAATTGAAGCACGCAGAACGTGTGTAGAAAGCAGGTCAGAATCAATCTCGTAAGCTTTCGTCCATATCAGCCCCGCACGTCTCTAAGGGGAGGGGGATTGGTACCAACTTGCGGCTATCCAGCGGTATGCACCTCTGAAACAGGTTCGCGCAGTCCATCAACCAGAAAAATCCAGAACCTTCGGAGGTGTTGGTTCGTAATTAGGCCCGTGACTCAGCTGCGGCATCCCTGGCTGCATCTCGATCCGCTTCGGGTGGAATCATTTCCTTCCTTTCGCAGTACCAAATACAACTTGTCGTCAAGATTCTGCTTTCCGATACGTTCTTTCGCCGACATCCCACCTTGCCACCTTTTCCCATATCGGACGTGCGGCGGCATGCTTGTGCCTTCCTTGGCTTGCGAATTTCCTGCAAGTCCGCGCGTCCTTCAAGCCCTGGATGCTTGAACTCCGTTTGAGAGACCAGAAAAAAGTATTGTCGGAAGGATAGTGTGGAAACAGCATGTAGCTTTCCAGAGCCAGCCGGAAGTTTTCATGTCATTCTCTGACCGCTGACAGGTACAGCCGAATCTGAACCTGTCGTGTCCCACGTACTGTATCCGTGGTAGGTGTTGCGATGATCTTGTCCAAGCTTTCCGGGGCATCTCCCCGACGCTCTGTGGTAGCTGACAGTGCCAGATCAGAGTTGGGGAGGTCGCAGTCAACGCGCCGGATGGGAGTTGGGGCTAAGTTGGCAAGCGCAAAGTCCCGCCCTGTTGACGCGACGCATACGACAAGCGGCAGACAGTAAACGGCCGCATGCCTCGCAGGAATATCTGCAATGAAGCTGTAGCCTTGTTTTGCACAACAGGGGCGCTGAACGAGTGTAGCAAGGAATGTCAGGCCACCGGACAGGATCTATACTCATTAGGAGCTGATGTTTCTTCGCGGACAGCCTGGTTTCCAGACTCATGCAGAGCAAGCCACCGCACCCTGTTGCAGCCTTTGGGGTTAATTCTCGCAGCATCAACTTTTTCGCTTGCCCGCGTTTGCATCCGGCGGATGATCTGAGATTATGAGGCGGATTTATTGAGACTTTCAAAATCCACCTGAACTCATTGATTCTAAACTGTCATTCTCGCATGCCTGGAAGCTACCCGAGTTTCAAGACCCAAGATGCAAGACATCAGCTTTCAGGTGTAGGTCTCAATATTCAAGAGAAATAGATGCCGGAAGCGCGAAAGCTGCCGCTACTAGGCGTTCCATTCCAGGGATCGCAGGTTGGGCTAGCGGCTAGGTCACGCAGAGGGTCGACCGAAAGCCACAAGGCGACAACCTCCCGACCAGCCTCCTATATCCTACGCCGAATCTACACAGAATAGCGAGGAGGCTGACAGGCTGACCAGGCTCCAAATAAGCGGAGTCGCAACTAAGGAAAATCGAGCTCATCGATGATTTTCTAGCCATTAAGATCTGTTTCCTCCTGCTCGAAGTGGTTCTGCAACCTGGCGCAGTTCAGACGCTGCCCTCGTTGCTGGGGCTTTGCCCGTAGCACGGTTGCTCACTAGTCACGTAGCCGATTCAGCACTCGCCTCTCTAAACATCATGAGCACCGGCAGTGCTCGGCTTGAAGCTTGGCATCTCTCGGAGAGTCGAAGAACCTGAGAAAAAAGACTGAACCAAGAGACCTCGTCTGGCTGAGTTCGAGTTGGGAGCGTAAGCCAGAAGAGGAGTTCCTAGAAGCGAACATAAACAGCATTTCCCTTTCAGCAACCTCCGCAAGCCTCAGGTTGCAGAAGGAGCCGGATCAAGCCCTTCAGATCTTAAACTTCCTGGAGCAGCCAAACGCTTTCCAGAGTCTTCTGAAGCCGGCTTCTCGTCTCGGAATTGGGCGATCGACCGCGTCCTCGTGCTGGCCCTGTCACTGCTTGGCCCAGGAGCGCAAGCCTCTTGAAGCTCCTCGTTCTATCGAAGATGAGGAGGAGGTCGAGGGCGAACACATCAGGGAAGAGGATGTGGCTCGGAAGAACTGCAGCCAGCCGGTGTCACCTACCAGTCGGAAGGTCTCTTCCCCTTCCAACCAACTCGTAGGCTTTTCGTCGAGTCGGTGCTGCACCTACAGAACTGGACTAGGAAAAGGCAACGGCTCCAGTGCCGGTTTTCTGCAATCCCCGTAGGGTAGTAGAGAAGTGGGTTATTACCAGTGAAGACGCAAGCTGATCTTCTCGAATTTGCGTAGGTCTTGTTCGGTCTGCGTCTCGCAAGCATTTCAGCTTGGGGTTGGGGGGGTTGTTTTTGAGGAAAACTATAGCTAGACATCTTGTGCACCATCTTCGTGGTCTGTTCTGCACGCACGGCAAGACAAAATGAGACTTCCTTGAAGATGAATCTCACAAGCTTCTGTCAGCTGTACTCACAGGAGGAGCCTGCTGAGGCTGTGGCTGCAGCCGCAGATATCCAGAAGCTCGACCGCAGGGCTTTGAGAGCATTTGGGAGTGGGACGTACTGTTCCAGAGTAGTTGACACCAAGAAGCATTCTGGGGCTTCTAACTTCTCACCCATGTAGAGTCGAAGGGCAGTCGAAGGGTAGATATGCCTGAAGGTGAAGTTGCCGCAACAACAGAACTTGTGGTTTCTTAGAGCTGTGGATCTCCAACTTCCCACCGGCCGTGTTGGCATCGCCAAAGCTCGGATGCTACATCTGGTGTGTGCAGTTCCACAGCAGTTGAGTCTCCAGGCCCACGGCACTGGTGCGTAAATGATTTGCCTCGCGCCTGCGCTGCTTGCGAGGCAGCCAGAGAAGCCGGAAGGACCTTTGCCGAGCCTGGTCTTTGGCGCTTCTCGGCCGGAGGACTCGCGTGTGGTGCGAATGCTGTTTTTGTCCGATTCGTTTAGGCAGAAGCCCTTTCATAGAGAACGCGCTATGAAGGCTGATGTTCAGGCCTCGAGGCAAACCAACCGAGGCTTGTCTTCAACGGCATGGGCGTGCACCAGATGCGATCTCCCCCATTGAATTCAGATTCACCTGCCTGACCTACAAGATCCGCTCCTGGCTTCAAGACGGGCTTTCCGCATCCTAGGACAGCTTAATTAATCTCTTCACGTGTGGAGTGTTACAGACGTACGTGTCCACCAGCCCTGCCCCGAGCAGGCAAGGCGTTTTCTAGCCCGCAAGCATCCGGTGCCCAACTTGCTCCCATCCAAAAACGCTCGGCGATATCCTGAGGTATTCACATCTTGTGCAGAAGCCTGAAGTCAGCCACGAAGGAATGCAAAAATGCGGCTCCCTGTTAGAATTGGTGGGTTTCTGTTCCCGGCAAATGGTGTCCACATCCTGCGAAGAAGCTGTCCCGGTCTCACTGCCTTTGTCCTATTGTTGCAGTTCGTAGCTCGGCTGGCATGCGAGGAAATTCTGGAGCACGAGCTTCAACATGCACCGCTTTGTTGGAAGGACCTCCGTGCTAAACTAAACATGCCGTTGTTTTTGTTTGGGTTGCGGCGGGCGGGCGGAGATTCTTCCTTGTGCTTCTTCCTTGGCAATCATTCACGACGACCGTGAATGTGATTGCTAGAAGCAGAGTAGCAGGTTTGAGTTGGGAGATGCAGGGCCGAATCCGCTCGTACTTAAACTTGTTGCCAGCGACCCTGAGTTGGCCACTGCATGGTGAGGAATCGCAGAGCCATGAAGCGAGAGGTCTTCTGCACGACCACGACCAGGCAAAGGTGACCTGCCTAAAGGCACCCTGGCACAGCTTAGACACGCGATTGCTTGCTGTCATCTGAGAGCCGGGAAGCCGGAGACAGACACAGCGCTTGCTCATAACCCCTTCCGCAGCATTTCTGGCCCGTGTCGATTCATCCCGGACTGACCGAATGTACCTTCCGGCTTTCAGACAATCACGAAATCACACTTTGAACTCAAGTTGCCCGGAGCACCGGTGGAGCTCTGGAGTAAGTGAGCCATCTGGCATGAACGACTCATACATGTGCAGGACCGCTTGAATCTGCACATGCTGCTGTTGAGGCATACCTCGCGTATGCCAAGCAGAACCACGCAAAGGCCAGGGTTGGACCGAAACCTCGAAGTCTTACTACATCAGCTGCAAGTCAGACTCAGTCAAACCTCTGACTTGCTGACATGGTTGGAAAAGAAGTGTGTGTGATGCTGCAGGCTGAAGCCGCTCTGTTGACAGCCTGAAAAATGTTGTTGAGGCATTTCGCCTCCTCATGCGCTGCAGCTTCAACTTCGCACCTGGTAAACCCGGAGACAAGTCTGGAGTGAACAAGCCAGGTGCGCCCACTGCCCAGGCTGTCGTATGCTGTTCCGCCGTGTCGGCTCGCGCTTGAGCAGTGCTTGAGCGCTCCAGGAGACGAGGTGGAGGACCACATTCCCACCGATTTCCATCTTGCTCAAGATGATGCTTGCTCTCCGCTGCGACCTGCTCGCAGCGTGTCGGGTGCTCGATTGACAGCTTCTAAGAGCACCTCGTTCAGGTTCTACAACAACATCGGCTGTATGCACTTCATGATGCACAAGCCCAACTTGGCGATCTACTACTTCAACAAGGACACCTGAACGAGCAGTTGTAAGGATTCGCCAGACTTTGACGCCATCCTGCAAGGCGCTGTCGGCCAGCGGACCTACAGAAAAGGAGCTTGGGTTGGATTAGGGGACGGGCTGCGCTGTAAATCCTGGTTTAACAAAGTGCCCCAGCTGTCGAAGGTTTAGGTAGATCCTGACTCCAGTCTGGTGGGTGTAGACCGTTTACTCACAAACCAGCCTTCTTGGTTCGCTGCATGACGGCGGCATTGCAGACCGTAACCTCAGCCAGCGATGTAGTCTAATATCTCGCGATGAGAACAGCATGCCGGCCGGCTACCGACACAAACAGAGTCATAGCTGAGGACAGAGTGGCGATACCAGTGCGAAACGCATCGCAAAAGCTTTGCAAGGCTGTTCCTCGAACCATATACGAATCTGCTGTCGGATCATTACGAAAAGCCTGCGTGAGTGCCCGGCCGCAGAATTTCCCAAATTCAAGACACGACAACCTCAGACAATTGTCTTCAGGAGAGCATGCTGCTGTCGGCTAAAGTTGGACTTACACAGCCCGGCATGGCGGCCTCCAGGTGCCCTGCAGAGAACCCCAGTTTTTTTATTGGCAAGGGGCCAGCACCGTAGGCCAAAAGGGATTACAGCATTTCCGACGTTGCAGTACAAAGTCGTCGCTGTAGGAGTAGAGCCGAGGAAGCGCGACAGTAAAGTCAAAGTCAAAGCCAGGGGCAAGGTGCCAAACAAAAAATTTCAATGCATGAGGCATCATGAGGGCTCACACCGAGCTTTTTGCAGACACGGGTGCCCATGCATGGTCCCTGACCCATTATCGTATGTACGACTTTGTCAGGCACTGGCTGGACCGACGGGCGGAAATCACCTTCAACGCCGGGCTGCAGTTCCTGATGACCGGCCGACCAGCGCAAGCCTACAAGTGCCCGTCCAAGTATGGTAAGGGACTTGATTGAAAGGAAACAGTGAGTCCCAGCGAGAGAAGAAAGAGGGCAAGGAGGGCGCGGAAGAGGAAAAAAAGGATAGGTTGACAGTGCGTAGACTTCCAGTACTCAGTAGTTGCAGCCTCGAGCTGCGAGGGATGGGATGGCTTGGTGCAGATATATTACGAAGCGAGATCTGGCTACAGAGGACGAGAGAAGCGCGGAGTGGTGCATGAGATATCCTATCTTTTATCCAGGGTGACTCGTCTGCGGGAAGGGTTGGCTCTGCATGCCCTCTTCAAGCCAGCAGTACGCAATACGCAGAATGTAGCAATGTAGCACGACTTTGAGAGTTTGAGTAGAACTGTGCAGCCATGCACCCATCGACATTTAGGAGCCGTGTGGGGACGTTCGGATAGCGCTAGGAGAAATAGCAATGTAAACAAGTCCTTCAGCTGGCTCCTGCCGCTGCAGCCGTCTTTCATAAAATCGAGCAACGGGAGGCTCCAACAGAACCGGTCATGTCACAGTCACTAAATTTCAATGACTTGACAGATGGGCGAATGAAGATCTCGAAAGCTCTCTACAGGTCCTTCATCCAGTGCACTTTCGTCTTCCGGTACTGGCCGCGACTGCCCCTTGTTGAGGAATCAAACGCATGAACGGACCCAGGCTTGGATTTGCAAGTGCCGGAAAGGCCCTGTGAGGATTATGCAACATCGCATCAAACTGGGCCACGCGGCCGTGAGGTGGATGCGCCTCGCGGAGTGTTGCATCGAGCTCTACAGGCAGTCCCAGAAGGCTGAGCCAGAAGGCGGCTGACAGCGGACCCGGGGGCTGAGTAGCTGAAGGCCTGCTGCGTGCAAAGCACTGAGGCGGATCGAAACCTGGCGGAATGCAATCCTGGAACCGGGCCGCTCGCCGAAGAAATCGCAGCAGATCCATCCGCTTCTGCTTCTTTTCTCTCGCCTGTTCAGTTCCTCTTCCAAGCCGCTGCTGGCAAGGCATAGTGGCATAGCTAGAGGCTGCCCAGACAACAGCAAGACGTCTCAGCCAAAATGCCATTGCGTGTTCAAAGGCTTCCAGGCTAAGTTGCTTTTTAAGTGTAAAAACAAGCCTTGCTTGATTGGAGCTTCCACCAGGTGCGATAGCCCACACTGCCCACTGGCAAAAGGCATCGCCCTGCCGATACGAGCGAGAATCTGACCACTATCCCAGGCCTCAGCACCTTAAAGATCCAGCATGCGTTCACGAAAGGTGAAGCAGCCGAGCCCCATGGGTGGGTCCATCTGCACTTCCCTAGGACGGGGCACAGACCGGCAGAGTTTTGAGAAAGAATCCCTGCTTCTGTTGTCCGTGCCTGTGCCCAGCAGGAGGGCCGACTGCCCTTGGGTCTGGGATGTCGCAGCTCGCCTGTGCTGCTCAAGGCTCGTTAAGCGGCTTGCGGGTCAAACTCTTTTACAATAAAGTCGCGAATGTTTACAGTCCCATGGCGGCATAGTGGAACTCCAAGCCTACAGTCAGTTGCAGTCGTGCGGGGTCTGTCAGGCTCTTTTGAGTCCACTTTGCAGTCCAGGACGCGGTCCCACCCGGCGACTTTCCTTGCTCGTTGAGAAGATTCTTGGCGAATCAGCGCAGCCTGAGGCAGTGGTTCTGTATCTTTAGGAATGTTAACGGAAGTTTAGGGTCAAAGTTCAGTTCTTTAGGATTTAGGGCTTAGGGTGTCATAAACTCTAAATCCTAAATCATAAACCCCAATCCATCAACCCTGAATGCTATAAAGCCCGTAAATCCTAAACCCCAGAACGTCAACCCTATCCTAAGCCCGCTTAACCACCGTGAGTATCACCTCGAAACTTACATGTGCAGCTTGAGTGCGTGCCTTTTGTTATGCATTGGTCTAGGTAAACAGCTTATGTACAGTTGTATATGTTTCTGCTGATGCCGTTACGAGTCGAAGGGCCCTTGAGACAAAGGCGAAAAGTTGGCAGCCAGAGCGCCATTGTACGCTAATTGGTAGCGGAGCTGTGCCCCTCCTAGCGCAGGGTGCAGTCCCAGTTGGCCTTTGGATTTGGTTGTTGGTAGTGCAGCGTGGAAGAGATTGAGATAAGCGCATGCCGGTCATTTGTGACTCCCTAGGCTCTTGGGACGTTCTTGAACGTTTGTCTTCACGAACCTTGTTGTCCAACAGCCGACCAGGGAGTCACAAATGACAGGTGGTTCAACGGCTGAAAATGGAGACCCTTCCAGGGTTTTGGTACATGCCAGCACATGCACCCGATTGTTTTGATCTTTGAAACGGAAAACCGGGAGTCACAAATGACTGTAGTCAGTTTGCCGGAATCTGCAATATTTCCTAGGCGCGGTGCTAATTTTTAAGAAATCCTAGTTTTCCCTCGGCGGGGTGCATTTTTTGGCTGAAAATGCAGTTTTTCCCAGGCGTGGTGCACTTTCGCATGAAAGTAGTGTTTTTCCCCTAGGAGGGGTGTATTTTTCGCACAACCAGATGCTTGCTTCCCATATAGAAGTAATATACACTATATAAGATAATATATATATATATATAATAGACAATATATATATATATATATATAACCTATAATATGTAATATATAATATATCATGTATCATATATAGTGCATAATACGTAACATGCAACACAAGATATACAATATAAAATGCACAGTATAAAATATACAACATATCAAAAATAATATATATTATGCAGTATGTATTATATAATGTTTAGTATGTAGTATATATAAAATAACATTGAAAACATGATAAATATTATATAATAAATAACATTTAAATTCTGAATGTAAAATATATAGTATATTACATATAATTTGTCAATATGTAATATATATATATTATATAATGTATAATATATAATATAAAATATAAAATATATAATATAATATATAATATTTATTATATAATATATGATATATAACATGTATTATATAATATACATTATATAATATATAATATATAATGTATAATATAGAATATTTAATATATTACCTATAGTATATAACCTTTAATATATACAATATAGAATATATATTATATGTAGTATATAATATATGTATTATATAACAATTAATATGTAATATATACTTTTAATATATAATAAATTATATACCATATTTAATATCTACTATATAATTTTCAGTATATAATATATAATATATAATATATAATATATAATATTACATAGTTAAAATCTAGGAAAATAATACCTAATAGATAAAGTATATAGTGTTAGACATACTACACAATCTACAAAATGATACATAATTTCAAATATATACTATATAACACGTAATATAATATCAGCCATTGTACCATGGCAATACGAGGCTGTACTAGACTATATTAGGCTATAGTCTAACACAAGACCTCACAATAGAGAAATAGTACAATTTAACACAGTATAATATATTATGAAGTAACACAACATAATATAACATAGGAATATATTCTGGAGAGTATCATATCGCAGCGCAGAATTTGAGGAGTGAACCCAGCAGGAACCTTTTAGCGAAGACAAAAACACAAAAGAGCGAATCCAGCAGGAACCTTTCGCCGAAGATGAAGATGAAACCCTGTTGGGCGAATCCACGAAAACCTTTCACCCAAGATGAAGACCCTAAGGAGTGAACCCAACGGGAACCTATTACCGAAGACCAAAAACCCTCAGGAGTGAATCCAGCATGAACCTGTTGCCGAAGATGACACCCTAAAGGGTGAATCCAAGAAGAACCTTTGACCTAAGGAGTGAACTCAGCATGACCCAGCGCCGAAGACCAAAACCCTAAGAAGCCCTAAGGGGTGAATCCAAGAAGAACCTTTCATCGAAGACGAAGGCCCTAAGGAGTGAACCCAGCAGGAACCTTTAGCCAGAGATAAAAACCTAAGGGGTGAATCCAAGAAGAACATTTCACCCGAGACGAGGACCGAAAGGAGTGAACCCAGCAGGAACTTATTACCGAAGACAAAACCCTAAGGAGTGAATCCAGCAGGCACCTTTTGCCCAAGGTGAAACCCTAAGGGGTGAATCCAAGAAGAACCTTTCACCGAACACGAAAACCTTAAGAATTAAACCCAGCAGGTACCTATTACCGAAAAGAAAACCCTAAGGAGTGAATCTAGCACCGAGGACGAAAACACTAGGGAGTGGACCCAGCATGAACCTTTTGCCGAAGATGAAACCCTAAGGGGTGCATCCAAGAATAACCTTTTCACCCAAGACGGAGACCCTAAGGAGTGTACCCAGCGACATTCTATTACCGAAGACGAAAACCCTAAGGAGTGAATCCAGCATGAACCTTTTGCCGAAGATGAAACCCTTCAGGGTGAATCCAAGAAGAACCTGTCATCCAAGACGACGAGCCTAAGGACCCAGAGCAGGAAGCTTCGACCGAAAAGGAAAACCTTTCCAAAACAAGAAAAAGTAGGGAGTCACAGATGGCCAGAGCAAGAAAAAGCGGGGAGTCACAGATGACCCGTGGTGCTGTGGGAAAATAACATTGAAAAGCAAGGCAAAAGGGTCGGGAGTCACAGATGACAGGCGCTTGTTTGAGAAGAAATCACAGGCCTGCCAAGGAAAAAGAGCACTTTCGGGTGAGGTGAAGTGTGGTGATGCCAGGTGGAGGGAGTCACAAAGGACGGGGATTTACGTGGCCAAGAGCCAGGAACATAGGGAGTCACAAATGACAGAAAGAGGGAGTCACAAATGACAGGTGTGCCGAGATAAGTCCCCGATTCGTAAGATCGAGGCAACGTGATCAAAGCAGTGCGAGAGAGATTGAGCTGAAGTATAGCATCTTGGGACGGATACTGGGCATGTCGGTGGCAGGCTTACGATTCCGTAACAAGACCTATGCTTTTGCGCCGAGCGTGACAAAGAATGGAGTATTCATCTACGATGGTAACCCTGCAGACTACCACGAATGGGAATTCAGAACTGAACTCCGAATAGTGGCCTTTGAGCAGCAGGAGAAACGTCGTAAGAAGAAAGAGAAGAAGAAGGATGAAACTTCTTTTGAATCCTCTGGAGGCCCTGAACAGGGAAGGGCTGAGAGGTCCCCAGCGGCGGAAGCGAGCGCTCCAGCCGATAGGGCAGGATTCCTTGGATCTGTTCCGACGTCGCCGCCGGCAGCGAGGTCCGAGGGAGCCAGTGAAGTGAACCGAGAGAGCAGTTCAGATGATGATGGAGCCATGGAAACAGTACTTAGAGTGCTTGAGGGTTTGAGGGGAGACGCCTTTCAGAAGGCAAAGGACATCGGGATTGCAGCATTGGCAAGACCAAACGGGCTGAGAACATTGATAGCAGAAATCAAAGCGATGGTTTTCCCTCTTGGAACCCCGGAAGCACAGGCCTTGCTTGGAGTGGCCAAGCCATACGAGGTCCCGTAAGCCGTCAGGATGGAGAATCTGTGGTATCATACATAGGTCGTCGGCGCCGGTAGTGGACGCTGATGACGCAACTTGATTCGCGGATCTCTTTGTCAGATAGTTTGAGGGCTGAACTACTTCTGGAATTGAGTGGGTTGACAAAGGATCAGCAGCTAATGATCAAGGCTTGTGCCGGTGGTGCGCATGAGTTCGAGGTGTATGCGAAAATCATGACCGAACACCATGGTCTTATCTACCTGCGAGGTAACAGACTGCTAGATTCTATGCCGCAACGCAATCCCGGAAATGACAAAGATTCCAGAAGATGGCAGCCGAAGGGTGCAGGAAAGCATGGATATCAAGCATTCGCACCATCTACGGAAGAATGCCTGAATGCAGCTGGCGGTGATGAATTGGCCTATGTATCGCAAGAACATAGGACCGATGATCATTACAACGACAGTTGGTATCAGAATGAAACCGATGACGATGGGCAAGATGCAGGGTGGAACGCCTGGACTGATTTGCCAGGGCAACCCTCAGGATACACGGCTCAGGAGGCTGAGGTGACTGTCTCTGATGAAGAGACGGCAGTGGCTTTGAATGC